TTTATAAACTACAGGTATCCACTATGTTTGAAATATGTATTTCGCTATATTTCAACAATTATATTTTTTTTTTCTTGATAATTACTTTGATATTCACATTTATAACAACAATATCTTCTTATTCTATTATTATATTTTACTCCATAAATAATTTTAGAAAAGTATTTGGAGTTACAATAAATATCGATATATTTGTCAAGTTCTGTTTATAATTCAAATTACATACTAGGCTTTGAGGTTTCAGGTACATTAATAATGTTATTAGAGTTTTGAACAGGTAGATTAATCAAATTATTTAGAGTTTATTCAGGTATATTAAGGAGGGTTTGTATTGGTAAGAGAGCAGTATTTATAGACAATAATTCTAATTGTTCATTATAATAATCTAGTACCAGTAATAATTCTAATTGTTTATTATAAAAATCTAGTACTAGCAAGTTCAAGCTTAAATTATCTAATTGTTCATTGTAACTAGACAGAACTAGTAAATTCAGGGTTAAATTATCGTTGGTTATTATTAATGTTTGGATTGAACTATCATAATAATAGAATAAGTAAATTATTATTAATATCAATATTTTAAATACTAATTCAATTCAATTATTTGAAATTCAAAACTAGTTTTGAATTTCAAGTAATTGAATAGGCCCACAACCATACTTTACTTAATATTAACCTTGTGTCATATATATATTCATTTTATATCATTAATACTTGATTGGAATGGTTAGAACTAATAATGTAAATAAGTAAGTAACCAATATTATATAATTACATAATATTTATTGAATGAGATTTCTAATAATACACCTTGTTTTATGTATTTTTAATAACTAGGATGACTAAAACGCAATCTAATAATAATAATAAACTGGAGTAGTAACCTAATAATCTTATTGCTAAATATTTAATTAATAAACTTACTAATAACTCACCTTCTTTATATATATTTATGGTAGAACAAATGGAATGGCTAATAGGATGACTAATAGAATGGCTAATGGGACTGCTAATGAGACTGCTAATAGAATAGCTAATAAGACTGCTAATAGAATTGCTAATGAGACTGCTAATAGAACTAGAGTAAGTAAACCAATATTGTATAACTGTTTAACGTTTAATTAAAAGAACCTTTCTAATAACCAACCTTGTTTAATATATTTAGCACCTACACACTAGAACAAAATGCAACATCTCTCTTAATTTCTCACTTTTGCAAACGAAAAAAAAAATACAAGTGTTTACCACGCCAGTATAGTCAAGGAAAGAAACACCAGTGTAGTATAACACTACTTCTGTCCAATACAAAGTTTCTCGTTAAAAAAACAATTACTTCAAGAATCTTATTAAAGTAGGCGTTCACTTTACATTAGTTCTCTTTTCTAAAAGCTGTTATTTTTGATCTATTTTTTCGTTATATGCATATGCACTATTATATCATACGTTATACATACTATACTTTCATATACTTTCATATTGCTAGTATACTCGCATTTCATATAACTGTTATACTCACATTTCGTACAACTTACTTACATTTTGTATAACCAACTATTATTTAGTACTATGGCTACATGTAGCTATAGGCTACAATTATATTATTTCAATTTTAAAAATTTATTATTTAAAAATTATTTAGTAAAAATAAAAAAATTTCTTAATACTATTTATAAAAAAACAAATAGCAAGTAAATTACAAATAAGATATTAAAATAAAATTATATATAAATAATAAAGCTATAAAAGCTTAGATAATATAAGTTTAAAGTTTCTAAAACCTTTTGTTATAGCAGATTATACTTAGATATTCTAGAAAAAGCTAAGTAAAACATACTTATAAATAGCTAAGTTTTATTTTAAATAGAACTAGATATTTTGTATATTGTAAAATTTTTAAATAAATAATTACTAAAATTTAAAAAAATAAATCATTTGTCTACTTACATAACAGATAGTTATTTTTGCCTATAGTTAATAAAGTTAAGGTTTGAGTCAAAGTTAGAACAACTAATACAAGTAAAATTCTTTTTTAATATATTTTTATTAGTATTTAAAAATTGTTTTAACATTAATTTTATGTTGTTTTTCGAACCAATAAAATTTTCAATAACGTATATCGAATTTTTTAATCATCATAGGTGACAATTTTATTGTGAATTTTGTGACAATGTTGAATTAATCTGTTATTTGTCACTTGTTACTAAAATTTTAAAAGATATTGTTATTTGCTAATCCTGTATTAATATGATCAAAAGTTGATTTTCAAGGCAGACCCCAATTTTTTTGTTAGTGGTTTTTTACATTTTATGATGAAACTACGTATTTAACAACGAAGAACGCCTTTAAACTATGAAACCACCTTTTACCTTCTAATAAAAAATTTGTTCGTTATTTATTATTGATCATATACATATTGGTGCTTATTTTAGAATGCATGGATTATCAAAGAATATTACATAAGCTTGCACTCGTGTTATTACTAAATTTATAGATAAATATGGATAATGTTTATAAAGCATAAAAAAAATAATGACCTTATCGAGTTTAGCTTAGCTGGACATTCTTAGCTGGGGGAACAAATAATCAAATTAGTATAAAAGCTATCGCAACCAGTGTTAGTCATATCCTATTGATACGTATGAGCAAAATGGTCATAATGTAATAGTAAATAACAAGTCATAAGGTCATAACCTATAATTGACTACTAGGTCATAAAAGGTCATAGGCCATTACTGATCGCAACTCCCTCAATGTAATTTGCTATGATCAAGTTGTTGCTCAATCATTAAAGTAATTCTTGTAACAATTTTGCTGAAAATTCATTGTTAATAACAGTTAAATGTGTATCTTAAATTTCATTCAATCAAAATAATTGGGTATCTTTGACTTAAATGACAGCAATCAATTTTCTCAGCAAATCAGGTAATCCGGTTAACCCATTGAGGGAGGCGTTTGAGAATTGATATTATTAGTATTATCATTATAATTAACGTTAACGTTAAAGATTTATATAGCGGTTTTTATATAATGAAACGACTGTTTGTTATATCAAATGTTCAATTAAATTAAATATGATATATCAGATATACTTATTTACTTTAGTCTGAATTATTAGCTACCAAATTTAGATTTTTATTATTACTGTTAAGGTATGTTTTTGGGCTTTATAAATAAAGATGTGAGATGACAACCATTGAGACTAAATTACAATACTGCAATAGAGTACTAATAGAATGCTATAAGCTACGAAGTGGTGAACTTTTTGTTATTTTTGATCAGTGGAATTAATTCTTGCAAAGTTAGTAAAGTTAATTCAGTATATCCTGTCCTCACGTGGTATTAAAAATTATCAATATAATGACATAATTCTCGGGGGGTTTTTTTTTTTAATTTAAAAATTTAATCATGGAGGAAACTGATTATCATGCTCCAATACCTCTGAAGCCTAATTCTAATAGTAATGGATTAATAATATCCCACACTTACTCGCCTTTAATTCGCAGTGGCTCTCCTATCGACATAGACGGTTTAAGTTGGCCGAGTTGGTGTTTTTTTTTTTTTTTTTAAAAAAAAAAAAACGGATCCGTTCTTTTTTTAATGAGCTGTTTACCAACAGGTATAGGGACTAAACAACGGCTAAAACGAGACTAAGGAGCAAAAGGAAGAACGTACAAAAAAACTTTCGGAGGCCATTAAAACAATTATAGAGTGTATTGGTGAAGATCCTAAACGACAAGGGTTGTTGAAAACGCCTGATAGATATGCTCAAGCATTAATGTTCTTTTCTAAAGGTTATGAAGAGAGTATTGAACGTATGTATTTCTAATTTATGAACTTGCTTCTTTATATAGATCATTTCTAGAATTTATTCTTTAAATCAATATTTTACCTTTTATTGTTAGAAATCATTAATGATGCGATTTTCGAAGAAGGTATTTTTTTTAATCTTATTACCGGTATATTCATTTATACCACATATACTAATATACACATTTTTAAATAGATCATGATGAAATGGTCATTGTTAAAAATATTGATGTATTCTCTTTATGTGAACATCATTTGGTCCCATTTACCGGCAAGGCAAGAAGAATCTTCTTAGTTACATTATATGTTAATTATGTGACAAAAAAAAATACCTAATCATCCTTAAATAACAAAAGATCAGTATAGGTTACATTCCAAATCGTCGTGTTCTCGGTTTATCAAAACTTGCTCGTATCGCTGAGATGTTTTCGAGACGACTTCAAGTTCAAGAACGTTTAACAAAACAGATCGCTGTCACTTTGCAAGAAATATTAAAACCCCAAGGTGTAGCTGTTGTGATGGAAGCTACGTATGTATTTATTTTACATTTTATTTAATCATCATAATCAAGTTTCTAACAATCGTATTATTTGAATTTTTTGTCAGTCATTTGTGCATGGTAATGCGTGGTGTACAAAAACCTGGAAGTTCTACCATCACAAGTGTTATGTTAGGTGTATTTAGAGAACAGGCAAAAACTAGAGAAGAATTTTTAACATTGATTAAAAGCTAAAAAAAAAAAAAAAAAAAAAACTTTTTTTTTAATTTTAATTATACTAGAGTTAGAGATACTAAATTATTATAAATCGCCGTCAAAGAACTCTCAAAATATTGCTACAAATTATTCCTAATTTTACAATTTTGATGATTACTTCTATAGACAAATTATAAACTCTCAAATCAATTCAAAATCTTAAATTATCCTAATTTAATACTCCTAGACAACCCAGTCTTGATACCAGTTTTCTCGCCGCCATAAGAACCTTCTTGCTGTGAAAATACTCGTTTAATACTTTTGATTTTTTTCTTCGCTTTTTCGTACCTATTTCTATGTTTAACACGTGGATTGCGCTGTTCTTTCTTACGATAAGGTGTGAGCCCTTTATTCTTAAGAATTTGATAATTAATTTGACGTTTAGCACCTTCTGTGATAATACTGTCTTCATTAACATTCCTGTTTATTAAATAATGGCTTTTAATCGTCTTGTTCATATAATATTGCCAAAAAGTCAAATATAACATACTTATTGTTATGATATTCCGTTTCAATTTGTTTCAATTGTTTCATAAGTTGTTCTTCATTCTTAGATTCGTTTATTTTTACTTCTGAAACATCAGCTGTAATAGGTAACCAATGTAAATAATCTAAAGAAATACAAAAGTAGAATTTATTTAAAAAGAAATAAGAACCTTGATCAGCTTGCTCAAGCTTATTAACAAATGACCCAATAAACGCTCCAATATTACATTCTAATCTCTCTAACTTATTCAAAGTCATTTTAAACTTTACTAGTACATCAATCACCGGATGTTCGCGTAAATTTTGTGTTCCAGATGATTTAAGAGCAAGGTAAAAAGAAATATTTATTAAATAATGAACTAGTATTTGATGTTTTATTGATATAAATTTCATTGCTGGATCGTGTATAAGATTTTTTTGCCTAGCTCTAATAACAAAATTTAAACTTATTAACACTTTATAAAAACGTTATCATAAATTGATCGTGGAAACTTACTTATCCAATAAAGGTGTTATTGTATTCCAAAGTATCGAGGATTTTTCTTTGAACTCGGTTAATAACTCGATAAGTTCAGGTGATTCGGGTTTAATTATTTTAGTTATACCATCCCGTGATAAATCTTTACGTTCTTTATCTAAAACTTCTCTATAAATTTGCTTTAATAAAATCAACATTAATAATAACCCTTTTTAAAAAGACTCACCCATCGAATGACATTAAATCAAAGTCATCAGCATAGTCGATTGGTTTTCTATCGATCTATTATTTTTTTTTATATCAGCATTATTGTTTGCGTTAATAAAGATTAATTACATGTAATAATTACTGTCTTGGATTCCAATAATTCGCCATCTATTTCCAAGAAATCGTCTTCTGTCATTTGGCTAATCCTTTTCTTCTGTAATTTTAATGCTTCTTCTTCTTCTTCCCTTGCATCACTTAAATTAGAAATCTCATCTGCATTATAATAATTTTCCTTGCGACTGCCCCACGTAGAATCAAAAATTGAACCATCTTCCTCAAGATTGTTCATCTTATTTTCATCTTCAATTCCAGTTTCCAATGCGAATACTTCTTCTTCTTCAGATAACTCTGATTCGTCTTATTAAAAAAAGGTGTATATTTTTTTATGAAAGCACTACGACAGGTGTAACCCTTAATTAGTTAAGAAAAAAAAAACCTTACCATGCTTGTGTGCTTCATAAGGATCTAGGGAAATTTGATCTCTCCCAGCGTAAACTACTCATAAGGTAATCACAATCATATAACGTAATTATCGATCTAAATCAACAAAGTCTGTGAAGAGTAATTCTTACAGTCATCTTCCGAATCGTGTTCTACATCCTCCCATGTGGAGATTTTACTGATTCTTCCACCTTGATTGTCAAATTTATCATTTCCTGTTTCATAAGTAGGTGGTGGGCGGAAAGAACGCTTTCTTTTTCCCATTGTTCCTACGAAGACGAACTACTAAACTTCGTTAATAAAAACTTTAAGCGTAGGCAAAAGCACGTGATTTTACATCTTCGATCTTCAATCTACAATGACGTCATTAATAAAATTTTTTTCTATCGCTATAAATTCTGATTTATTGCATTCATAAAGACTTCCTTTCTTTTGGAATCAGCGAAAACTGTCCCATAGCCTAAGTGATGTCCAAATTTCCAGCTATTTTGAACGGTATTTTACTTATTAATTTGTTAATAGTGTAAATTAAATATAGAATATCGATGGTTCGAATGATACCTAACTTTTTTGCATTCAAATTTATTTTATTTTATGCAAATTGCCGGGTTATAATGCAAATTGGAAAACAGCCACAGAGGAGGACATTCAACTCCTCCTGTCAGCGCAATGTCATATCGGTGCAAAAAACTTAAATGTTCAAATGACCCCTTATGTCTTTAAACGTCGTGCCGACGGTAATTTTAAGCTAAATTTTTTGATTATTTTTATGCATCCACTTTGCAAATCTAAAGTTACTTCTTTTATTTCTAGGTGTTCATATAATTAATATCGGCAAAACATGGGAAAAATTAATTTTCGCTGCCCGTATTATTACTGCCATTGAAAATCCTGCCGATGTTGTAATAATTTCGGCTCGTCCATATGGTCAACGTGCTGTATTAAAATATGCTTCGTATACTGGTGCACAACCTATTGCTGGTCGATTTACTCCTGGAACTTTTACGAATTATATTACTAGATCTTTCAAAGAGCCTCGTTTGATTGTTGTAACTGACCCAAGGACTGACCATCAAGCCATCAAGGAAGCATCTTACGTTAACATTCCTGTCATCGCATTATCTGATACGGATTCTCCTCTTCGTTTTGTTGATGTTGCAATTCCCACTAATAATAAGGCCAAGCATTCAATTGGTTTGATTTATTGGTTGTTGGCTCGTGAAGTACTTCGCCTTCGTGGTACCATTCAACGAGATATTCAATGGGACGTAATGGTTGATATGTTCTTCTATCGTGATCCAGAAGAAACTGAGAAAGAAGCCGAGACTACTACTATTACTGAAAAACCCCCCGTTACATTCCCCACCGGTGATGGTTGGGATCAACATGAAATTGCTGGTGATTGGGACGCGTCTGGCACAACGGCACCTGGCGGTGTTAACCCTGCTATTGCCGCAGTAGCTACTGCCAATCCAACAACCGCCACTTCAAATTGGGATACGCCAGAAGCAGAAGATGTAGGTTGGGCAGAGAGTGGCGGCTTTGAAACTTCATTTACAGAAACCGCTACTGGTTTTACCGAACCAACTGTGTTCCCTACTGAGACTACTGCAACGTTTGATTCTAATACTTTTGCCGACTCTGGTGGTAATTGGGCAGATGATACAAATGAAAATGTCAACCCTGGATCAGGCTGGGATTAAATTAGAGTTTCTGGGGTAAAACTGGCTTGCATATATAACACTCATAACAAGCTCGGATCGCCCATAAAAAAAAAAAAAAATGTAGCTGATTCATAATTATGTTTTTATATAAATTATATCGCTTACCTAACAACAAATGTAAAATAATTAATATAATATGTGAAAACGTTTCGTTACGCATATTTCATTCGTATGACCAAAATCAAAGAAATTCTACGAATTCATAGAATTAAGATAAAAATTTTTTTTGATGTTAGCTAGATAATTGGTTATTGATATGTTTTCGTTTAAAGTTTAGAAAATTTTAATTGCCTAGTCGTCTAAAATTTTCTAAACATCAAGAAGATATATCGACAATTATCTGATATTATAAAATATTATAGATTGTTGTTTTTTATTTCAATTCTAGAACTCGTAAATTAAAATAAAAAATTTTTTTAACTTGAATAGGTATTTGTCGAGTTATCAAAGTTTAACTGGAAACTAAAATATTTAACGGCAATATTTTTTTTTGAATACTATTTATTCTTTCTATTTTTGCAATTTATTTAAATAAATGTATACTTTAGATGTTTGTATTAAATAAACCTTTAGTGTTTTAGTTGAAGTGTTTTGATTTTTTATAGTTTTTTTTTATAGTTTTAATTGGAATATTTATAATCAAATTTTGCAAAAATAAATTTTTTATTACTATTAATTTAAAATTTTTAAAACCTAATTTAAGAGGCTTTTGCTTTTAATTTATTTAATTAAAATATATATGTATTTTTAAAAATAAATTTTTTTTTTTTCAAAAAGGTTTTTGTTTTTTATTTTATTTATCAATATATACTAATTATATATAATATGTAAATATGTAGTGGTGTAAGCGAATTGAGGTAATTAGTTACAATATTATTGTAGTGAAGTTACAACTTTTTTGTAGCATTGTAACTACAGTTGCATTAAAATATTATAGCGTAGGTTTGGATTCTAGTAGTATGTAGTAGATTGTGTAGTAGTAATAAATTATAATATATGATACATAGAGTGAAGACTCTTTTCCGCATATTTCAATTTATAAGAAATTGAAAAACAAAACAAAAAACTAAGTAAATAATAGAAGTTTGATAATTAATCCTTTGCCTACAATTTGCAACTTCTGTTTTCTTTTATTTACTATACATTACTAACTCTTATACAAAATTAAGTGAAAAACTTTAAGCAATCTAAATACAACACATATTATACTCTTTAAGTTAATAGAACATTTTATTTTCTATTATTCAACTTCTATTTTCTTCAAACAACAATTATAATACTATGAATAATAATAACAATATTATCTTTTAACCATTTTAGATTCATTTGGCTACTTTTAGATGTTCAAATACAATTTGTTATATAACTGTTTTTCTTATAAGAATATTAATTTGTATATATATAAAAATTTGGGTTCAAGGTCTGGTAACCTAGTATAGTGGTTAGCAAATTTCACTGTTGATAAATTTGAATAATTTTTTAGATCTTGTGATATATTACATAAACTTTTTCTGTTTTTAGAGGCATACTTCTGTAAATTGAATTGTATCAAATCAATTAAAACTTAGAAGTATGACATAATATTATATGAATAAATCTTGATAAGATATATAAGCAAAGGATTTGCATAGTAGAAATTTTGAGTCAGTGAAGTAATATAGTATTTTCTGATATGATTATATTAGCTAAAGTCTGATCTAAAAAGAAAACTCAGTCTAAAGATAAGATGAAGTCAATAGAAAAAAGACAAATTATTTTTAGTGAAATTTTTTTTATTTTTAAATTAAAATATCTTAATAATAATTTTATCAAATTTAATAATTTTTTTTTTATTTAAATCTATAACTTATTAAAATTAAAATAAAAAAATTTTTATAGGATTTGCTTTAGTAGTTATTAAAATATTTTATTCTAAGAGGTTAGGTTTTATGGCTTAGTTGGTTAAGTCCTCAACCCTCTACAGACAAGGTCAATGGTTCGAGTCTGGTTGGAGGCATTTGCTTCTATAATTCTTATAAAAACTATTAATCGAATGCAAAGCTCTGTAGTAAAACTCATGTGAAGTACAAGATTTTAGAAAAGGAATTCCTGGAAGGAGATCGATATTATAGAGCAAGTTGGCATTATGTGTGACAGTTGGTGTCACAGAAGGTTTCATTACATGAGTGTTGCGTGAATAAGTCCTCAAAGGGTTAGGCAGTACTAATATCCCTAGCAGTTGGGAACTTGTTTGGGAGGGTGACACAAGGATAACACGAGCTAGAGTAATGAGCGAAGCAGTGAATATAATAGAAATCTGTGGAAAAGGATTGTTCTAACTAGATGTGGAATACTTCTGGTACATGTGAAGGCTAGAATTAGAAGGTCCTAGTTCTATAGAGAGTTGGCTACTATCTAGGATATGTATAAAAACTCGAATTGGCAGGAAGCACCAAGCTGGTAGTATAATCATATATCTGAGTATAAGAGCATACCAACATTAAATACCAGCTAATGCAGACGCAAGTTGGAAGTAGTACTACGTATTATGAACCTAGTTGGAAGTAACCTTGGTTGCAAAACATAGCCTGTACTCTACTAATATATGGGAGTATCTGGTATTGATAGTCGCACAACATACGAACACAGTTGTATATCATAAAATGCTGGCATCTCCATGATCTGCAGAAGATGTAATAAGTTGCAGGCCTAGGCTTTAGTCATGAATATACTAACTAGAAGATATGGAGTTAGGCAGTGAAACTAGCTAGACACCAAACAGGAAGTTATCCGTGAGAATTGACGATGCCCTATGTAGCCCATGATACCTGTTTGGTAGTATCTCTGTATAAGTATGAGTGATGCAGGGAATATAGTGATGGTGATCTAATAATAATAGTCATAGCATAAACTCTAATTAAAACTATAATGGGATAGTATAAATTAGATCAAAAATACTTCGTGGATAAATTAGTTCTAAGGTTTATATATAGATTTGAATACGTTGTAATTGTTACTTGTAACAAATTATAATAAATTTAATAAAGTATATAGCCAAAGAGGTTACTTGTAAAAAAAAAAAAAAAAAATATTTTATTCTAAACTTAAAAAAATATTTATTTAAAAAAAATTTGTTTCTTTTCTATTAACTTTATCTTAGGTTTTGTGGTCTTTAGGTAAAGAATAACTAGAATCAGCTAGATATAAAAAAAAACTAGATTGACTAACTAGTAGAAAACTACAGTAAAACTTAGAGTTGTATAAATATCTACAAGGGTTTAAGCTAGATAAATTTATAAAATGAATATAGACTACTCTAGTAGATTTGCTTTAAGGTTAACTAGCTCTGCAATATTTTTTTTATTTTATTTTTAAGGTAGCTTATATTGCTGAACGAGTTTTATTAGTTTGATATATGAGGTTCTATATAGGGTTTCCTTACAGTTTGTAATTACATAAAGAGTATACAATAAGTCACATATATAACTTTAGTTATTGTCTAATTTAAGTAGTCCACTATGTAGGCATTAGACCACCTGTTAGTATTATACTATGCTGCTATACCTGTAATCCATCTGTAAGTTACCTATTTAAATACTCTGTTCAATTAATCTATACTGTTACAAACTAATGTCACTATAATTTCTAACTGTTTAAGTTAACTAGTTCATTATAGATCTATTTATTGACTTTAGCTTAGATTCTCTCAGAATGTTTGTACTCAACATATTGTAAGTTTTGTAGAGCTTTAGTTAACCTCAAAGCAAACCTACTAGAATGGTTTGTGCCTATTTTACGAACTCACCTAGCTTAAATCCTTGTAAATATTCATACAACTCTAGTTTCTACTATAGCTCTCCACTAATTTTGTGTTAATTGATTTCTCTAGATATTTCACAAAGTAGATTCTCTCAAATCTAGTTAGCTACAAAGCCAAGTTGGTGCTGCTGATCTTTATCAAAGATACAGACTTACTCACACCTATTCTGATCTATATTCTTTGAAACAGTTTCTTTTCAGATCAAGTATTAGCTAGTGTAACTAACAAAAGCTGTACTACTTTACTAACTCAGGATTTCTACTATACAGATCCTCTGCTTATATATCTAATGCAGATTTATTTATGTAATGTTACTGTCATACTTCTAATGTCTAATTGATTTGGTGCAATACTATTTTTTACAGGGTTTTGTCATATCTCATAGGACTCCTTTTTTAGAAATGAGCAGAGTTTTCTGTAAGTTTAGTATACAGGTCTAGATATTATTCAAATTCATCAACAGTGAGATTTGAATCCCAGACCTATTGTATAGCAGTCTAACAACCTAACTACTATACTAAATTACTGGATCTTTACTAGCTTTGCAATATCAACAATACATTAGATATAATGTATTCTAAAAAGATCTAAGCTGTTTTGAATAAATAAATCTATAACAAGCTAACTAGTTTAAGTAGTTAGATATTGTAGTAATATTAAATTAGATCTGTATAAGTTAATAAATAGAGTATTTAAATAGATAACTTATAGGTAGATTACAGGTATAGTAGTATAGTGTAGAATCAATTAGGTGGTCTAACACCTATATAGCAGACTACTTAAAATAAATAATAACTAAAGTTATATGTATAGCTTGTTGTATACTCTTCATATTATTATAAAATGAGTTTTACCTATTTTATTCTTATTATTTTATTATTAGTATTTTATTATTATAAATAGTTAATTTCTT